ATGTGTTAATGACACATTTTAGAGGACTGTGGCTAATTCTCAGGATTGTGAGGAGTTGACAGCTTTTCAGATGAGTTTAAATACCTTATGTCAGTAATTTTTCACAAGAAGTACCCTTGATAAGTCTCCATATATGAAATAACAGCTTTCCTGTCACCCACTCAAACGTCCTTGAGACTTATGACATTTTTAGGGATTTTTCTTATGTAATAAATTACAAAAATCTGTTTTGAATCACTTTCTATAGAAGAAACAAATAGAAACTAATGTGTTTATTGAAAGAAGATAATGATTTGTACTGACTTGGTAAAGACTGGCTGTAAAACAGATTGGAGGTGACACTCGTGTAGAGCCGTGTACCGGAGAATATGTATAAATGTCTAGTATGACAGAACTTAAAACATTTATAAGTGTAAAATATCCCTCCAAGTTTGATGTATTTTAAATGTGGTTCTAATAGGAAACACAAGTTTATAAGTGGTGGTCATATACACAGTTTACACGGAAGCTTTATTTGGGTTTTAAGTCAATACTTGGTAATATGAAAGTAAGTAGCAGTTGTTCTGAAGTGTTACATGGGAATCTATAGGGGATGATAACCCAGTGTCACCTGTACATGTTTATAGTCTGAGATTGTTCTCAGCTTTGTTATATATACTTACTGAAATATACCAGCTTAAACACTTTGTTGGTGTGGGTACCACACCTTGAGACCAGTATTTGTTGGTGTGGGTACCACACTTTGATACCAGTAGTTGTCGGTGTGGGTACCACATGTTGATACCAGTAGTTGTCAGTGTGGGTACCACACGTTGATACCAGTAGGGTACCCACTCTCCCCACCATGATACACTAGTAAGTCTTGTATAGACCATTTCCTTCCTGTCCCAGGTATGTCAGTTGTTGGGGCTCACTTTTGTATAATTCTTGTCCAGATGGCTTTCTCACCCTGCAATGTGTCATCCTGTCATACATGTATCAAAATACATTGTAGTTTAGGGATTGAGGGATAATCCACAATCTCTCGGGACTTTTTCTCATAAGTTGCTCACTGATTGGTCAATCTGACAAGAGTCATTAATTCCATAATGTTATCTAAATTCCTGGAATCACAACATGGATCTGTTTGAAGTCTGACATGCTTGACTGATATGGTGATGATATTTGACCTAATTAAAGTCCGGCAGAAGTTGTTGTAATATATCCTACCAATTAGTGCGATCAATCGGGACTAATTCAATTTTCTCATCAATTTTTCTCGGAATAATTACATGAATATTTAACACCATCATGTGTATTGGTACACAGTGATATCTAAACTCTTAGTAATTGTGTTAGGTTGTGTATCAGTTCTTGCTTCATGGCTGGTTTTCATTTTTGTTATCAGAAGGTGTTAATTAATGTCAGTATTTAGTGTGATAAGGCAGTGATCAAAGTTTGACTGACTAGTGGACAGACTGGTAATAGATTGGACAGGACATTGTTATGGTAATGTTGTTTGGGGCTCAGTCTCGGTTCTTCATACTGACGATGCTGGGACTTGACACATTAAGGAAGATTGTAAGTTTTTATTGTTAAATCTGCTGTTTCTGTGTTTCTCAAATTCGGAATAACTTTTAAACTTATCTTAATGGTTTTGAAAAAAAAACCCATAGTTTTGGAATTAATTTAAAAATTGTATTTTTGAGTTATCAACCTGACAAGCGGAACAGCTATATTAGTTCCAGTTGTTTAGACTGAAGCTGTATTTTCACTGAGTGAACATACTTGTGCATGATGTGTAGATTATATAGTAAGATAGCACTGTGTACTTTCCATGTAGTATGGATTGATGAGCGGTAGTGTACTAATGTAATTGAGAGTTTTTTTGAAGTCGGTTGATTGACAGGGGATGTAGTACCATTAGTGTGAGGGCAGGCAGACTTGCTAGAGCTAGGTATTAGGTGAATGTAGCTCAGCAGATAAGTATAACGGCAGGCTAGACACCAACATGGCCTCACAGTGTGGAAAGATTGCATAAAAATAATCTCCACTATTCTTTATGGTGCTATAAAATGGCAGAGCTAATGGTAAAACAGAACGCATGGATCTAAACAGGAAACCAGGCAAAGCAAATGTTTCCTCCAAAACAGCTCACAAAAATCTCCAACAAAATGCATTTTTGTCATATGTTATCAATGTTTTATGGACTGTGTAGCCTATAGTTACAATAAGAGGAGATTTTTTCAGCATTAATCTCTGACACAGGGATTTTGGGGTCACATACCATCACTGATTAGATGGCAGTATTTACTAGTATGGTATATTTCAATGCCAAATAATTACAGCATGTCAACCGGAACTTCCAGGAATTAGGTTTAAGGTAATGGACAGAAAAACGTGTGATTATCTTCATCAGCTGTTTCACATGATTTTATGTAGTCATTCATTCCTACAGATAAAGAAATGTTTTACCTAATGTAAGCTGTTTCCTCGTACTTTTCATCCTTTTATATAATACTCTAATGTTGTACTCTGCACTCTCACTCTCCCTTCTACAGATTACATATTGTGTCATACATTCATGTTATTGAATTTATTTCTGATTGTCTGTTGTCATTTACAAAATAATGCTTCACGTCTTCATTATATTTTGTGGTCCTGTGATGTATAGGAAATTTTACCTAGCTGAGGTATCAGCACAAGGCCTCTGGTAGTAGGATAACTTTCTCGTGAATGGGATAGCTTTGTATCTGTGCAAGGGACAGATAATTGTTTGCACTCCTACGATAAATGTGACCATTACAACCTCCGCTGTCCAGACAGCACCCAACTGTCCCACTAGATATTCAAAAATGTGACAATGTATATTGGACATTCCCATTGGAAATTCAGGAATGCGTAGGTCTTTCTAGTGTAAGAGCTATAGGTGTGGATGCATTGACAAACTTAAAAGGTGTTTACGGGTCAAAGTTGGTGTTAAGTAAAGATTTTTGTTTGTAATTGTGAATTTTTAAAATGAATTATATGAGAATTGATATGATTGATTGTTAAACAAATTGTATTGAAGAACACCCAAAGTTAAGCATACTCAGAAAGAATTGTCAAGATGTAATCTTCAGCTAAAAGGAAAAGTCCCTTTCAAAGTCTTTAACAATCAGGTACATAGTGTGTCACCTACAATCGTCAAATTCTAAATGTTAGCATGTCTTGGGATATGGTTATCTGTTGGGTACTAAAATCATGTAACCTGCTGTACACAGAGTTATGGCCCTTTTTTGATTTTCTGATGCTGAAATTTAGAGGCTGGGAGGGACCATGAATTATTTCCTTTTTCTTTTGGTTTGATAAATATTTTTCTGTGAACTATTTTGGATTAAAAAACAACAACTTGCCTAGATATCCACTTTTAATGAAACTTGAAGACATTGTGTCACTTAATAGGTCAGCTTTGGTGTAGTACAAGAAGTGATAACCAAGTGATTCTAGTCCTGTCCTATCATAGGCTTGTATCAGTGATAGCCAGGTGATTCTAGTCCTGTCCTATCATAGGCTTGTACCAGTTTGCCAGTATTAGGGGATTTTCATCGTATAGCTCTGATCCTGTCACTACTGATCCTATACTGTACCTATACTGATATTATACTGATACTATACTGATGTTGTACTTATAGTAAAAAGCACACTTATGTGTTTTGACCACACGTCCCTACTCAAACGAAGGGTGGGGAAGTAATACCAGACTACAATACAGATAAACCAGGGTAGAAGTTATCTAGTGGCCATGATACGCCAAATATTCACCCAACATCACAGACATAGACAGAATCATTGGCACCAGACAAAATTTAAATAGTAACACCTTGATAAGGCTCTCTGATAATTACGGTTTCTTGAGGTTTTCTTCTTTTTGTTTGAATTAAGCACTGTGATCCTTCTGTTTGTAGTTTTGCCGCCCATTTATCTGGAACCTAAGTGGCTTTTTATCACAGTCATAAGTGGCCTTTGTTGAGATCCATCCCCATGCAGGGACAGAAATAATTGTGTTGTATCGAGGGATCAAAAGTTGTTTTCTGTGATAAAACCTAGTACTGGAGATTTAAATAATAAATTGTAGATAATAGACTATTCTTTTAGTCTAAAATTAGATTGAAATAGTTTTTGGTATACATGAACTGAGGCTTTACAAAATTCAGATCACGTTCACCTAATGAATGTCTCTTTGGTTGAAAAATACAAATATGCAATCTTGATAGAATATGAAGTGTATAGAATGTTAATCAATAGAAGATCATGTGCTGGGAGGGTTAATCAATGAAAAATTGTGCCTTTCAAGGGTTAATCAAGTTTTCGTGTTCCTCAAATAAATTGCTTGTAGAGAAAAGTAATACGCACTTGTGTACCTTGACTGTCAAGAGGAAAAATGTCCTGAGAATTGGCTGATGTTGTGGTGAATTTTCAGGCCGACTTTACATGGCTGGTTTACAGCTGTATACATGGAGGTTATTGGTAGTGGAGATTTGTAGAGTGGAGGGGGATCTGTGGAGGGGAAAATCTGCCAGTTCCACCAACCATGAAATCACATACACATCTGTATCTTGTCCTAAGTACCAGTCATAGTTTAATGTCTAATACTTCAAGGCTAGACCGTATAAAATCTGACTTCCCTGGAGCTTTATGAAACAGATTTGGAAAACATTTCCTTGAATATCTATTTCTTTTTCCAGGGATCTATATGAAACAGCACCAGAAAATATTCCCTATTTGTTTGAAATTGATGTATAAAACACCCCATGTCTGAATAGATCTGTCCCCATTTTCAAATATCTTCCTAAACTAAAGGAATTTTCTTTCACTTGAAATCACTCGTAGGAAAGCTTAATATAAGTTAGGAAAATTTCCTCAAGTTCAAGTTTTTCCTATTTCATGTAATGCTTTTTTATAGTAGTTAAGGAGAAAGATTTGTGAAACTGGAGCCAGGTCATATAACAGCATTTTAATGGTTTGATTTCTTGTTTCAGGTGGAAACAGAGAGTGTAGCTTTCAAAAATGGTCAGATTCGTGAAGGAGATCAAATATTACAGGTAAGCATTAGATCTGTGTTTTTTGTCAGAAAAAGAAAATGGATATTACAGCTTAGTATATACAGACTGATAGGCCCACCCACATGTATTACTCTTCAAAAAGATCATTGACCAGTGCTATTCCACTGTCCTGAAATAAGCCCACCCCATGACTTTATAATCAAGAACTAATGCATTGGCCGCTAGGTCTTTTGCATGATAAAGACGGGAAGATTTGAAGTTTCGTCAGAAAATTAAAAATCACAAGGTCAGTATTACAGGATATCTACATGTCTTGTCTGAAAGCAGGAAAAAAACCCTAATACAGGTCTATTGTGAGTTACATGTGTTGTAAGATAAATATGTACATATATTGTAAATATGCTGTGGAGGGAGAAACCACCTATTATATGACTTCTGATGGGAAAAAGTTGACTTGAATGGTTTTACTATGTTTGAAATGAGCATGCTATTTTACAACAAAAATCAACTGGAGCAATGCCTCTCTATACAGTGTCATATTGTATAGGTAAGCAAACCGCAGTCAAACATTTTCTAGTCAAATTGAAAAGGGGCAATTTTCGTTTTATGGAAGATTCATAAAACTTTTATGTATTTTGTATGAAAAAATCTTGGTTGAAACATCAAACAATATGATGAATCTGCTTTCTCTACTCCTGCCTGACTTTTCTCTTTATCTTCTTTATGGCACAGTTTTAGCTTTGTCCTCTACGCTTTTGAACAGTTTTATCATCAAGATCATTTGCATGGTATCTGCGAGAGTAAATTAAAGCCTGTGATGATTTGAACGCAGCAAGAGCCGTGTAATTTCTACGATAGAAGAACTAGTGACTTGCCAATGCTGCATTGATTTATAGGAACACATTATGACGAGGGATATTAAGTGATTTTAATGTGTTACAAAAAGGAATATTTAATACGGGGATATCAAGTTGTTAGAGATAGTGCTGTTTAGTAATAAAACACCTCAATCATCAGTCCCTAATAAATTACTCGTTAATACAAAACAACCACATTTAATTAGCTATTTTCTACTCATTATTATTTCATATCATTTCCGAAAGATTTGCAATTAATTTCATATTTGTCCTCTCACAAATTTACAAAAAGACTTAACCAAATTGTAGTAGCATTCATTTAATATTCAGACAGATAAGGAGTCCATGTTTGCTTGTTTTGTGACAATATCATTGACATCCCCGAGACTGTAGAGATGAGACAGCTCCGCATCAAAGTGAATAACCAGCTTTGATATTCAAACATTATATTGATTTGAGTTTATTTCCAAGTTTTTCATGACAGTATTTATATTAGATCTCTTCCTGTGCTCAGTGTAATCCACAGACAAGTTTGTCTACTGTCTTAATCCAGAAGTCTGGCTCCCACTGAGCTGGGCTGTGCTGTCCAAACGGCATGAATATACATAACAGCACTGAAATAATCCGTTTGACAAGTGTTGCGTAGTGTGTTATCGGCAAAGCCATGCTGCCTGCAGTTTTTCACTACATCAAATGGATCACAAGCAGTAATCCCTCTTGGAGAAAAACGAGGGAGAATTATGTCAACGAGACTAGAACTAACCCAGATATGGCGGGACTTTAATCCATAGCTACATTAAATCATGCCAAGCCAGATTCATTGAATTATATTTTTGTGCAAACAGCAACTGGCTTCTTATCATAGCGTTTTCCATTGATTTTGTTACCAAAGATTAGTATTTAGCTCCTAAATGTCATAGATTAGAATTTGGTTTTAAATGTAGTGAAGGTCTTTGAAAGATAATATCAATGAAAATGAACTGTCGGTACCCTAATTCATACCAAATACCACTTCCAAGAAAGTGGTCCAGAGTATCGACAGGAAGACACCTGACTGATGTCTGCGGTTATGTAAACATTTTAGACTAGGTTGTAGACTGGTCATCAATATAGAGGACATTACCAGACATGTCAGATCTGTTGGCAGTGACAAGCAGCGCCACCTGGTGATGTAGACAGGAAGTGGGTAATAGTGGAGACCTACTGCCATTGATGATGACATAATGATAACAAATTGATAGAAAACAAACAAATCACTAATATACAGGAGTGAACATCATAAGATCGACCCACCTATCCCATCATAAGGGATAAATCCTTTTATAGAACGGTACAAAGCACCAGTGCCTCGTGCACTAAATCACCAATACATAAAGTGGGTATACATGGCTTTGATACATTGTCCGGCACGTATTGCAGGATGTTCGAAAGAAGATTTCATTGTGTTCAATCTATTATTTCCAAAATCAATATTTTTTTCTATAGTTCAAAATAAATTGTTCTGTCAGCAATTAAGGTGCTTTTATGCACCAGACATTTTGTTGCTTTGTGTTACACTTCTCGTTATTGTCGTACATTTTATATATATATTGTGTATAAGGCTGCACCGCCATGATAGCAAGTTTACTCTCACAAGCATTCAATAATTAATTTCTACTGTTATGTAATATTTTATGAGATCATTTAAAAACATTCTAAACATTTTAAACATGGTTAAATTGAATTTTCCAAAATTAAAAATTAATTTTAAATTCAATTATTTCAGTACTATGCAGTGCTGATGACTATAAGAGGTTTTACACAAATGTAATATAATGACCTGCCAATAAATTTCAAGCACATCAATGTGAAATTTATAGTGGACACCTATTGTGACATGTAGTTTTGATAGTTTCTGGTGTAGAAGCAGATAGATATTGAATACCAATTGTTAAATATATGCTGTAAGTGTTTTTACTGAACTATTTCTATCTAGCAATTTGTTTTTTATTAAGATTGGCAGTGATAGATGAGCATATTACAGGGCAGAGATAATGCAGGATAGAGACTATGATAAGGGTGGGCTTATTGTAAGGCATTGGTATTGTGGAATGGAAGCTAGGATTGATAAGGATGGGCTTATTTGTGGACATCAAATAATACAAGAATGATTATAGAACATTAAAAAATATTTTTGTATGATATTTGATATAGGAAAATTTTGAGTAAATTTTTTCATCTGATGATTAAATATATTTAGGCTGTTTCAAAAGGATAGAAATCACAAATATTGCGTACAGAATTGAAGGATTTTTTCCTAATCTTACGTCTTGTATTTCAAGCCTAAATTGATAATGATTAAACCATTAATTAGTTTTGAGGGTATTATATGAAATATGTTTAAATTCTGTTTGGTTCGTCTGCAGATTAATGGCATTGATGTACAGAGCCGGGAACAAGCTATAAAACTATTTTCTGAGAGAGGAACAGACATTCGATTGCTTCTTGCCAGACCAGCTCAGCTACAGGTAAGAATCATTTCCATGGAAACTAGCCATGACAACATTCTAGAGATTTTCAAAGAGTTTAATTGACACAGATTTCAATTAGTGTCATTTATGTGTTGGTGCTGTATAAAGCCATTTCAAATCCAGGCTCTTGATTCTTTATAATTAGGTTAATGGAATAGTCCCTAACATAAAATCTAATCATTTGTGTGGTTGTGTTTCTCTAGTCGAATTTCTTTGACTTTCAGTATGCTCGTAAAAGTCATATTTTCGAATTACAGAACTACTTCAGAGATCCTTGAAATTAAAAAGAGACTAAAATGGTTTTAGAATTTAAAACAATAACAGTTTCTATTTTATGTTGAATAATGGAATGAATAAAACAGAGAAGCAATTAGATGTTATGTAGAGTTATAGCACAAAGACACTATTGCCATCTGGATGATATAGGAGATTAACCATGAAATAGTTCAATGAACACCACAAGTATAGGTTCTGTTCTAAATCATACAGGACCACATAATATCAAAACACCATGGCTTCATAATGACACATGTTTGATAGAAAAAACAGATTTTGTAGATATATTTAAACAAACGTTTGTTTGATAACGTTATATAAACAAACCTGTTGTTTATGTGTCATTGTACATTGAGTATAGACTTTCCACTGTAGAATTATCAATGCAGATATTTTCTGTGTTGTGTAAGTCAGTGATATTGGATAGTTTTGTCCACATCTGGTAAATGTTTGAAGAGGTCTAGGTTTTTTGGACGCTTTGTGTAAGGTGCTGTGTGGTATAGCCTCGTACCATAACACCAATGTTTGTGTTGTACTATGGTGCTGCCATTCTTTCCGACCATACGTCCTCAAGTACTGCTGGGTCTGCCGAGCGTTTTTTTTCAAGGGAGCATCTCCTTGTTTTCAGACTTCAGTCATCTACCCTTACCTTGTCCAGATAAACACAAGCACAAACGTATGTGGTTGTTGAAGAAGAGATTTCTAGAGTTTGGAGTTTATTTTCGTAATGTTTAGCTATGTAGTAGCGTCTTGTGTCAGCTGGCAGACTCGTATTCAGGATCGCCATAACAATTATAAGCCCAATACTACCTCCATCGACAGACCTTCAATAACTGGCACTGATGTGTTGAGCACAGAGATGATCTGCTTATTTGTCCATCTCAAACCAACAAATGTACACATGTCTACCTACTGATGTTATCTGTGCATCTGCTTGTCATTGACGAGACATCACTCTGTCCTCGATATTGTCCTTGGCATCATTGATGGACTGTTTAGGCTAACCTTGTATCTATTTACTCTCTCACGAACGTTCCATCATTAAGGTGCTTAGGTTTCATAGTGAATGGTAAACAATTGCTTCTAACAGAAAATATTTTTTTCTGTGGAAAATTATTGTTTCTATAACAGTAGAGAATTGTATTATAGATATATATGTATGAAGAAATTGGCTTTAGTTCATTCTCACTGGTGTTTTGTGTGGCCTTTTGTTTGCTTCAGTATAGAAAAGATGGGTTTAGTTCATTCTTAAGGTGCTTTATACAGTCTTCTGATCATTTATGTCACTTGAACATGTTGGATTCTAAAGATATATAGATAGCCAATCTGCTGGTCTTGTTAAGACACCTTGTGCTGGACTGTTAGCCTCAATTTGTAGAAACTATTAGTTTACTTCATAAGTGCAGATATTTTGTACAAGTTTTTATAGTCCCCAATATATTGGGCCTGCACTAGCTCCATCAGTAGAGCAGAAGTTCAGTCATTCAGAGTGATGGTTCAGTCAGTAGAATGTTGAACTGAAGCTGAAGATGAGGCGGCTGAGAAATGGACTGTCCTGTGGTTGTGTCCTTGCTGTACCAGAATTACTTTAGATGGCATGTGACAGACCTTACATGTATTGTTCAATGAAGTATTTATCAGTTACTTCAAGGAAAACCAGGCTTGCCTAAAAATCAACCCTGGCTGTTGAGACAAAAAAAACCCAGGCAATATCCCAATATATAGAGATAACTGGTTTGTCCTAGCTGTGATCTAGTGTATGTACAGTATATTGTCGTCAACATCATTAAATGACAGGGAACTTAAATACTTTAGAACCATGGCCAAGTTTTCTAAAAGCATCACAAATTTGGCAAGAGTTTTGGAACAAGGCAAAGAGTTGATTAGTACAAGAACAAAGAGAGTAGAGGATAAGATTGTATAGGAAATTATTGACACTAGTAGATAGTAAGGTAGGACATCAAAGGCATTCAAACAGTGCATCCGTCAGCAGGGGGGTCAGTGAGAGTGTGGCTTCTAATGAATTCAGTAAGAAAACCTGACCATTAGTATCAACAAGTGATAATTAGGACCAATTGTTTAGAGGCACGGTGAACATGGTTTGGCCACTGGTCAGTGTAGAAGTGGCGATAGAGAAGGTTTTAGACGTGTAAACTGGCAGAGCTGCCCAAACACCAGTGTAGGAGAGGATAATCAGTCTGAAACAGCTACATCAAAGGCTGGCCAGGCCTCATTACACTTCAAAGACAGTCGAGGAGGGGTTAACAAAACAGGCCACTACTACCCTGGCCAGCTACCCTGACTGGCAAGTCTGTAATTGGGGGGTTAAAAACCATCCAATACATGACAGGTTTTATTCCCCCAGTGTGAGTTTTGGCCATTTGTTTCAGCACATCAGAGAGATAGGGTTCTTCACAAACAATAACAATGGCATTGAGTCATTGAAACGTATGTTTACAGAACTGGTAGGGAAGGTGAGGTGTACCGATGCCCAATGCCCGGTGTAAATCTGACTGTCATTAGCACACTAGGATTAGTCTTTGTTTGGAAAAGCTTGTAATGGTCCTTGCCAAAGTTTTCAGAATAAATCTGTTCCTTATGTACAGGAGATAAATCATCGACCTTCACTAAATTTTATACAACTCTTCGCTTTGTTTTAACAATCTTTAAAAAAAAAAACAACAAAACAGAAAAATCCTTTCATCTCTTTCCCAAAGCTTTAAGTGCCAGATTTAAGTCTTCAGATCAATATATGCAGCTAAATTGCTTACATAAATGTGTTGGGAACAGGTCTTTCATTTTAGTCATTAAAAACAGTCTTAAGATTTCCCAAGTGTTTGAAAGATCAATAACTATGTATATGTATACATGCTTGTTTTAACAATGGTAAACAACACTGTCAGCAGACTGCTACAATAAAGTACAGCTGTGGTGACATCCTTAGTGTCTGATACAACTTTCTGATGGTTAAATATTACTTGTGTGTCGAAGACTTGACCTTGCTAGAGGTCATGGAAGTGATCTGTTTTACTGTTGTTCCTGATATCATTCCTAGTAATATGGATTTTTACTGCTGCACCATTTGGTTGTATAATATTGTCACACTAAAAACTGTCATGTTGTTGAAAGTTATGGATGACGGTAGGGGAGACAACTGCTCTTTTTTTTTTTATACTTTTCTTAGTACATTAAGCATCATGTTACACTTCAGGAATGATTACTCATTCATTCTGTTCTGTATAAAACAATGCAGGTCTAAAAATAAATGAAAAAAATAGAGTTGTTTTAGAGAAAAATTATTGCCTGTTTTCATTGCCATTCAGTCTTCTATTCATTCAGAGTCAGGTGTGCTGGGTGTAACCTGATGATTATAATTTCTCTGACTGCTTTCTAATTAGTGATATTGGCACACAATTACCAAGCTTCCACACTTTCAATATCAATTTCCTGACTGGTCTTGTTACCAATTTCCTATTCTTCTTTTAGGCATTGAGTTCCAGTTTCCTCTAAACATTTTGAGATTATTTATAAGCATGACTCGTAAGTTTTGAAAGGTCAGCACAATTGGTCTAATCTTAGTCACAGATAACCTTAACTATCCAACCACAATATTTGAGAGTCTGGGTCGAGCAGAGGTTTGGAATATGAGAAGTGATCGGTTGCCACAGTTAGGGCATTATACCTGTCCTATCAGTGGGTGATAAGTCAATTAAAGTCAGGATGTGTGGTCCCATCACCCTTCCATCCCCTGGGCAAGTCAGTATTTTACTTTTAAAGTAGGTGAGATTCTTTATGTAATACTAGCAGAATTAGTTGGTAATGATGAGGAATATTTTTAGGGTGTGCTGGAAATAGATGATGGAGTTGAGGAAAGTGATATGCTATAAGACATATTTTTGTAGCCAGACACTTATAAATTGATGTAACATGGATTGTAGTTGAAGTTCCAGTGATTGCAATAGAGAGTTTCCAGACACTCTGGTTATGATGATTGCAATTTAGAGGCTCCAGACTCTCTATGGTTATGATGGTTTCCAGAGAGAAGTTCCAGACTCTCTATGGTTATGATGGTTGCCAGAGAGAGGCTCCAGACTCTCTAAGGTTATGATTGTTTCCAGAGAGAGGTTCCAGACTCTCTAAGGTTATGATGGTTGCCAGAGAGAGGTTCCAGACTCTCTATGGTTATGATGGTTGCCAGAGAGAGGTTCCAGACTCTCTATGGTTATGATGGTTGCCAGAGAGAAGTTCCAGACTCTCTATGGTTATGATGGTTGCCAGAGAGAGGCTCCAGACTCTCTATGGTTATGATTGTTTCCAGAAAGAGGTTCCAGACTCTCTATGGTTATGATGGTTGCCAGAGAGAGACTCCAGACTCTCTATGGTTATGATGGTTGCCAGAGAGAGACTCCAGACTCTCTATGGTTATGATGTGTGCCAGAGAGAGGTTCCAAACTCTCTATGGTTATGATGGTTGCCAGAAAGAGGCTCCAAGCTCTCTATGAGATGTTGATGCTACATCTGCCTTGTTATAAGTACGGAGCGGGTCTATTTCTTCACAACATTAGAATTGCCAAGCTTGTGTGATTGTTTATCTAAATTGGTCAAAGTAGGGATAAGAGCACAGCAAAATGAAATTTATACATGTTTTATTTTTTGAAAAATTTCAGACCAAACTTTACTAATTCAAAACATGTTTTGTAAGAACATTAAAAAACTCCAGACATAGAAAATGCAATTGTATGTGTATGAATTTTTTTTTACCTAAAAGTAGATTACAAGCTCAGTTCAGATCACATTTGCATTGTACAGTGATAGATGAGATTTAAGGGAGTTCTATAGGTGCACATAGGACATATGCTTGTACATGAGATATAATGTACTCTCTAGATGATTAAACCATTATTTGGTAGAGAATTTTGTTACAACAGTCTTGTAGAAACTTTATCACAAGAAATTAGCTGTACAGAGAACAGTAAACACTGCTGTTGTAAACAGCTACATACCTAATTTATCTTAGTTTATCACAGTTCAAAATTGCATCATTTACATGACGTAAAAAAAGTCCCAGGGAAGAATTCTGTCTCCAGGCTTCAGAGCTGGTCATTGCTTTATAATTATCTAATCAAAAACCACTTTCTATAGAAGAGCCCTGAAATGGCTTGTCTTTGATGTTAGCCTCTGTTGTTACAGTTTATCATGACCGTAAAGATCTCGGTATTCAATGTGCTTTTCGAATCTGCATTTTAAAGTGGCTGCAAATCTAGGTAAGGGGGGGTGTGCAGTCAGTGTGATGTAATGTTTATCTTTGGATATGGAAGACCAGGTTGTACTTACCTTCTCTGGGAAGGTTTCACTTTTCTTGGAGGGTGAAGAAACTTTTCAGTTACCTTACAATATATACCCTTCCACTCGTGGGGTGGAGAAGATCCTAGTCACTCCTAAATATTCTTCCACCCAGAGGGTGGGGGATTATTGTAGGCAGCCTTTGATTTACTACCACACCAGGAAGAACGCTGCAGCAACCCCTTAATTTTCAATTATCCCTTGGTATGGAAAGATAGGTTCCAAACACTAATCAATTCTCTACCATCCTAAGGGGAGAAGGAGGTTACATTTAATAAGTCTACTGACCGGGGATGGGAGGATGGGTGTGGGGGTTGGGGGGTCCTATTTTAAGAACCTTTCCATGCATTCAAATTACCCTACTTAAATTTAAAATAAACTTTTCAACTGGCTTTGCAGATTTTGGACACATATTCCACCTTGCAATGAAAACATACATATTTGTGAATTTTAAGTTTCATTCAATTTTCAGATTGTGTGATCTTGATGATCTGCCAATTTTGTTTTTTTTTTTCTGTAAGTCCTATACTTACAAGCTTGACAAAGCTCATGTAGCATACCCCATAGAAGGACAAACAGGGAAATATCACAAAGCTCATGTAGCATAACGCATAGAAGGACAAACTGGGAAATATCACAAAGCTCATGTAGCTTAACCCATAGAAGGACAAACTGGGAAATATCACAAAGCTCATGTAGCATAACGCATAGAAGGACAAACTGGGAAATATCACAAAGCTCATGTAGCATAACGCATAGAAGGACAAACTGGGAAATATCACAAAGCTCATGTAGCTTAACCCATAGAAGGACAAACAGGGAAATATCACAATCTGCTAATTAATCTAACTAGGGATAAACCACAACCTTCATGCTTAGCCCTCTGGAGCTGTTTAGCCAATCTGCCAGTGGTTAAGACTTTTCTGTCTGTTTCACGCTTCACGCCTAATTTGTCTGACCTTCCACTCCTGGATTGTTTCTGATCAAAAAGAGAGAATTATCCATCTTATAGTGCTACTCTTGTTAAGCTTTCATTCATTAGCTGCTCAGTCAGATGTGTTTGTAAGCCTTTTCTTTATTGGCTGCTCAGTCAGATGTGTTTGTAAGCCTTTTATTTATTGGCTGCCCAGTCAGATGTATCTGTAAGCCTTCTATTAATTGGCTACCCAGCCAGGTGTGTTTGTTCGCCTTTTTGTGAGATGATATTCAACTGGTCATCATTAATGGCAAAATATTGACTGATTCTGATAATAGGAACTTTATAATATAACACCTGATTCCCGTTATAGACATAAATCCAAAATAAGGCATATGTTAATTTGTTAATTAAGCTCCTGAAGTAAATAAGGTTAAAAATGAAAAGCCCTTTTTTTATTGTTTTAGTCCTTTATTGTACATGGAATACACAATCAACTTAATGTGCTTCTCTCTCTTAATTGTTTCAGTCAATGTTATTTTATGAAGTCCTATTTTTAATGTTGTTCACGATTCATTAATGGTAAATCAGCAGTTGATGATTTAAACAAGATCTGCCTCATTAAATGATGTGTGTGTTTGCCAACTGTTATACTGTGTACATATTTGTGGAGGCTGTGGTGCATGTTTATGATATTTGTCAGTAAATATGACACCCTTTCAAAGGCTCTACAATATTTATATGTTTGATCTAGAGTCCAGCACTTCACTTGTGAATGTCTGTACTGTTACATTATTCGCAGTTGTTCTTGTCAAAACTATTTACGCTGTGATTCTCTCTTCATTGAATTGAATATGACATAAACAAAATTATTTCAATCAAAATTGTTATTTCAAACTATCAAGTATTCCATGCAAACTGTCTAATTTCATTTCTGTTTCATTTACCATGTTGATAGAAACTCATTTCAACTGAGAAAATTTCAGTGTTTGACAGACATATATTGTAGATAGGATCGAGTGAAATTCACTTATCAATACAATAAAAAATAAAGGAGTTTGCAACGGAAAAATATGTGCTTCTTTGATACAAAGTCATTTTGTTAAGTATCTACAGCAGACTTTCGTAACTTCCACCTATTTTCAGTAAAGATGTGACAATATCACTGTGCACACCTCCATCAGGTTTAGCCAGAAGTACTCTCCAATGACTTTCATCATAATCAATGAATGCCAAGATGAACATCCAGAATTAGAAATTATGGTTTCTGTGGTTTTTAATCCAATCAATATTGTCTTCCTCTAGTTCTGAAGTGTTATTGAAGTTAAAAAAATTATCTCACTAGCGAACAGAAAGGAAATTAGACGGAATAGTTTTGGAGATTTTTAACACAATTTATTGTTGAGAGGAAAGAGAATAATAAGCATGTGTAAGACTGAATCGATAGTAGCTGGTGATGGTACAATAACCTCAGGCTGGTAAACAGGCAGATTAGAATTTGATACAACTTGGTGTATTCCCTACCCATTCCAACTGGGCACAGATTCCTTACAAAAACATGTCCATTTACAGTTGGAACATTGCTGTTCTGGGCCTTTGATCTCGCATGTCTACCATTCCATATCCATATGATAAATTGACCATTTTTTTTACATAGTAGTTTTTAAAGTTCAGATTCGGGTTAGCCAATTAGGTTTGATGGCCCTTCCAAATGCCAGACTTGGCACTTCAAAGCCATTCCTGACAGAGACTGGACATGCACATACCAAGTGTGATGGTAGGCCCCCTCAAGTGGGATCGTGGTCATCTCACACGTCATGTTGATAAATTAATTCCAAAACTGCTCAGGGGTTCTCTGGTGTGATAACAGATGTACACAGATAGATTTTAATGGTTTCAATCAAATTTATGATTTACAACTATTATTAGGTCTCTAGCCAAGTTTTAATTTTGGAAAGTACTCAAAGGGAAGTAACTCTATATTTGGATAGCAGAAAAAAAATTTCCTTCTTTTAAACAATATAGAGTAGAAAATTCTTCGTGTCAAAAATGCATGACTTGTGTCATTTTAATGGACAACAATGTACTGAGCAGTATTCCTTTGTTCCTTAGCTGGATGATGGGTTCATGGAAGAACAGAATGGGGTTCTTGATGACTTTCAAATGGACATTTTGGAAAAACATCACCATGACAACATGCAAATCATGGCCTCCATGTTGGCTAGGGTAGGTTTTGTCCTTGACCTTTGTGTTGTCCTGCTGTGTGCCCCTCGCCAGGGGTGGATCTCTTAGTTAACACTTGATTAGCATGAAATGTAACTTCCAGTAGGATGTTGGCATGCGTAAGGCCCTTAGGGGGCTGACTATAGTTGTTACATAATTGATGTTTAGCTTAAATAATCTGCATGGTTAAGTCTAATGATTGTAACAGAATTTTTGATTAGCTAACTTATCAGCATGCTGCACCCTGTGGGTGATAACTTGTATAATGCCAGATTAGACTTAATAATCTGTTTTAGCACCACAGAACAATGGGGACACATCACTTGTCTGTTTTCTCTGTGTACCAATTAATCTGTGTTCATTACTGTAATACAGTATAATTAGTCCTGACGGTGTTACTGTACCAATTTATGTTTTGATACTTAATCTGTCTGTTACATGTATATATTTATATATGACAACTAAGATCACTGTGGCCTCTCTATGCTTGGCTTCTGGTGGGACATAAGTGTTCCTCATTGAGAATGTAAATATTTCCAATGAATTCGTCAAACTAGATTCTGTGATGTTAAATTATAACTTGTCAACATCTGTGAACTTGTTTGAAGATGCATGTAAACTTTTTCAATTTGCCTTCAGTCTGTCAGAAATACTATATTGTCTTGGAAAGCATGCTTGTCTGTGATGTGATTTGATTTTTGTACACAAATTATGTAAATGAGAAAGCTATTTTCTCATGTTAATTACATTGCATGCGATAAGGTAAAGATTCGGAGGAGCTGAGATACTCCCAGCCTGTCGCGACTTTGTATATTGGTGCCAGTGTAATTAGTTTGAATACAGAATGAAATCCTAGACATTGATTCCGAGATAGGACAAGCTAATGGATTGAATTTCAATAAGGCAATAAAATTTCAGTATTTTAAATTTCTGTATTCTTGTTTTCTGGTATGATTTTGCCTTCTGTTCAACCTCTGACAATTCTTAGCGGTAGGTTTATAGGTTTTATGATAGTTTTACACTGTCTACTCATTAACCCTGTTTATCTTTGGACTATTCCTCATTTCGATACCAAAGGGTTACACGTACACTTGCATTCTGTAGTTTTCTTCAACATTTCATCCAAACTGAGGTTCAGTCAGTATATCACCTGCTACAACAGCTTCAATAAACAAATATGTCGAGTACAGCATTGTTGAAGACAATTATTATTTTTCTCTCATGAAACCATATCGTGTGACTGGTCGGAGTTTTCTGACAGTATCGTGTCGCTGTGCTGGCTTTGTAATTATACGACTGGTTCAGTTTTAGACAAAGTCTAATTTGTGATCGGCTACACTGACATATCTCGTTACAAATTGTCAAAGGTATCACTGGTTTCATTGAAATTTTTTTTACAGTAAATAAACACATGTATGAATCTATTAAACAGTACAACTACAGTGTACTTATATTCTTTAATAAATGATTCCTTTGTCAGTGGAGCATGCCTAATGACAGTAAATTATTTATAGCATGAATCATTGTTTGGTTTCACTTTCTATACAAGGTACACTGATCATTCATCAATAATGTTACAGATCAAACGGAAACATAAAACCCGAAAACAAAAAAATTAATTGAATTTAATTGACCCAGGAGATGAAATGACATGTAAATGTCAGGATTCGGTTGAGGACGAATGGAGACATTTTCTATAGTGTCCTGCCGAGCCAATTAAAATAGGATTGGATGTTACAGCATCATTGTAAAATATTGAGAGATAAGGACAGAGAATATGAATCTGTAATGACCCAGAACAGCTTGCCCAGTGTTTATCAGGCTCCCTAGGGTTTCATATTCATTAGCTATTTCACAAGGGAGGTGAGAAGGGACAGATCTGAGCCCTTTGAAGTCAAATCTCCCTACAGGCTTAAGTTCTGTATTTTATTTTTCATGCCTTTTATGAAAACTGTTTCTTTGTCATATTATCATATTGATGAAAAGATCAATGAAGATGTATTTTACAGTTATGCAATCCATTATCCCCTATTCAATAGAAATCAGTTGTGTCCAATCATCATCAAGTCTTATTCTCTATGTCTTTACATTATCTCTCCTGCTTTGAAATATTAACAGAAAAAAATGGAAAACCAGATTTGAAAAGATATGGATATTGTATGCCCTGGGGTAACTCCAATCTTGCCTTCATTCTCATGTTAAATGACAGTGGGTAGAGGATAGAACTCTTGCTAAGTATTGTCATCGTATCGCTCCAGGCCACCCTGCACTAATTTGAAAGTTAAATGACAGCTCCAACAAGTCATGATCTTTGATGTTTCAACAAATCACTGAACTCTTCCGTCATTGCTCAGTTTGAACTCGTCATTGCTCAGTTTGAACTCGGAAGTAACAGTTAAACTTTTACTTGCTCCAATCTCACTTCAACAGCACTCATGAAAATTCTGCCTGTTCAAGGGATCTCTTTTTATTTCAAACATCATTGGCGAAGAAAAATGGTTTGTAATTTTCTGTGATTTACGAGTACAGTGCATTGTCTTTGTGTTGTTAAAAGCCGTGATAATACTGCATTCAGTGTGGATCTATTGATGATTGGAACAGAGTGTACACGATTATCGTGGCCCCAAACCAACATATCTTCATTACAGAAAAGTACAGAATTTGATTGTCATTCTCTGTAATTTGTATGACCTGTTTAGCCCTGTGTTTATTACGTCTGCATGATACTTGATATTTTATGTAGCATGCTAGCTTTTAATGAATATGATATAATAATAAAACTATTTTTATGATTATTGAAATTCATTGTTATCTTAAACACAATGATAATAACTTTGAACTTTTATTCTCCTGATGGCAGCTTTGATTCAGGTCATTTTATGCTGCCCTTGTATTAGATGATTTGAATAATTATGAAGTAAAAAGGGAATCGTAACTGCTTGTGACATGTGAGAATGTATTTCTGTCTCATTACTGAGCAGCTCTGACTTCGCCATTTTTATTTCTACCGTGCTTGGCTGACGGACTGTTTTAGTACGATTAGCCTCAGAGCTTTATCATTGGGTGAAAAAGCTGTTTAAACCTCACCACTCACACCAGATCAAACTTAAATAATATTTGAATCAGTAATGCAAATATATAAGTATACAAATTGTTACTTTTGATAAACTGAAATGACAAATAGTCAAATTAAAGTTGAGTAAGATTAATTACCGGTTATGGGAATATTTCATAACTATGAAACAATTTTTGCTGACTGTTGAATTTTATCATTATTCTAAGTTTGTTTTATTCTGAACAGGGTCATTTTGATGAGGAAGGTGGGACAACAGACACTGCTACCACGGAAAACTCCCTGCACAAACACGAAAAAGATAGTGGTGTGGGACGTACAGATGAGAGTTTAAGGAATGAAGAGAGTTCCGAACAGGTACGTCTTAGCAAAAGCATTGAAGTATCTGGTTCTCTCAGATCATGTCTGTTACTTAGTCCATAGATCTTATTGTTTATTCTTTATGAACTCTGACTTTTCTAAACCAAATCACCGATTGTACCTCCTCTAAACTCCAAGCATCAGAAATCAGTCTGTCCATATTGTCGACAATGAGTCTATCAATCACAGAAATTCAGCTGAGTAAGTGTTATATCAAAAATACTCTCAACGAATTTATCAAACAACAAAAAATGTTTTAATATGCCATAAATTTGATCCTAGAGAATACAAATCAGAGTAGATTCATAAAAAGTATGGGACGTTTTGGCGCTAGGATGATAGTGTTGGTACAGTAATTATAATAGTTGTAGACGATGATCAAAGAGGGAGGGGGGCAGGGGGATGCGAATCAGAGGGGAGGCTGTTTGTAAAAAGTATGAATGAGAAGAACTGCGTTCTAAAGTCTAATTGTCAAATCACCATGACAATTTAAATTTTGATGTCATTAATTCATCAGAGGAAGCTAACAGCTGTGGTATGTTATTTGAGTCACCAGTGTATATATTTATAGGTCATGTTAAGTTGCTGAACCGAGACACAAATCATACAGCCGGGCGACTATCATTTTAGAGAATAAACATATTGATTCAGTTATGTCTCAATATGTAATGTTGAAGTAAATGTGCCTTATAATGATCTACACGATGGAGTGACAAATGGGACAGGTACGCCAGGTAAGGAGCACCTGTCCCAACAGCCTTTGATTCTATCCAACGTCATTGTGATAGTGTTTCTACTAGTAAATATCAAAGCACCTCCTCTAGATATCAAAGCATGATACTAGGTGTTCTTTTAGAAATAAAACTTTCACAAACAGTGTATCATTCAGTTATCAGATTCTCCTGTGTTGCCTGTAAATAAACATTTATCAGTTATCTATACAATACTTGCTTTTACATTAATTTGTCTGTTATGCCTGTTTGTTCACCTTTTTTGGAACTCAATTTCAAACAAATTTAGTTTCCTCAGAACTTTTTTTCATTGAATAGTTCAATTGTTACTCACATTTTTACAATTTAAATTTTCAATTCCGATTCAGTAAAAAAATTTAGAAAACAGACAAGCTCTGTAAGATTTGACAAGGTATTTAGTCACCTGGGAGACAGAAGGTTTTGAAACTGAATTTGAAAAATTGTCCTGAATTGAAGTTGATACTGAAATGTTTTGACTTTGAATAAATTAGGTCAAGTTAAGTGGGTTAGTGTGTACAGTAATCTGTTGTTTAACATAAGATAATACCAGCAATGTCTCGTGTGATGGATGGAGGTGCCACAATGCTCTGTCCTAAACTTTTGACAAATACGAAAATCAAGCAGATCCATTTCCATTGTACACGGAACAGTAGATAAAACGGAGAAATTCCACTACATTGATTACAGTCCTGTCGGGCTAATCAGCCTTGAATAAGAACGAAATGGAGAAATACTTGTTTAATTTTTGTACATGAAATCTAGAAATTGGATCTTAGTCTGTTTAACAACATAGTAACACCGGAATATTCTGTTAAATATTCATTCTAAACGCGGTAAATACAGGAAATGTCAGACAGGAGGAAAAAAAATTAGCTAAAAATAAATTTGTTTTAGGATTGTTGAGGGTAGATTTCTATACAATCATTTATCATACTGCAAAGTGGAAATATTTCTTCTCTGATAACTCAAGTTTGTGATATGTATCACTGTAAACCTACAGATAGATAATGGTTTGATGAAACTGTATCTTAACTTCAAAGGATGTCTGGCTTGGCCTGTATCAGACACAACAGATAGCTGGGCTCACCTGTTTGCCTAGATTTCATCTCTGAGTACATTTATATATCCTGTCTAATGCGGGTTTCAGCACTACTGCCGTACAAAGACTCGTGATGGTATTCCACGAGACCAAAAAGCGTTTATTTTATCCCATTCAGTAGATTCAGTACACTATATAGATAATCATCATACCTAAATATATATGTATTGACAAACAGATATTTATTATAAATCAGTAAAACTCTTGTTCATTCATCAGAATAAGTTTGTGTATTTTCTTTTTGATAATTGAACAAAATTAAACTTAAGACAAGTCACAATACTTCATAAAACAGCATTATGAAAGAAAAAAATCATATAGTGCAAAAAACATTAACGGAGAAAAAATGTGTTCCTACTAATTTATCTGACCAAAATGTCAAAAAAATTCTAATATTTCCTTGCCACAATTCCAACATGCATGATAATATCTACTGTATATATCTACATATTTTATTTTGCATGTAAGTATGTAATGTTGAAGCCACACCTAGACATGTTTGATGTGGTATAACCAGGGGCTATTACAGATGATTTAGGTATACAATTATTACCATGCTTATTAACAGTACTGATGAAACATCACCAATAACGGCAGTCGGGTGAGGTAGACTTGTGACGACAGTAAACACGGAACAGTTGTTAATCATGTGATTTACAAACGTAGTACTGAGACAATTAAACACGGAACAGTTGTTAATCATGTGATTTACAAACGTAGTACTGAGACAGTTGTCATTGGATAGATATAGAGTATGTGTTGTTTCTGACTCAGACTGGTGAATGGTGTCACGTACTTTGTAAACAGACAATTAATGTCTAACCTCCACACTCGTTAATCTTTTAAACAAGGACATTACTAAACCTTATGTGTATATGAAAAATTAGTCTTGTCACAAAATGATAATTTTGCTTTGTCTGTATCATCTTGATGTAGATTCAGTCTTAATGTTCACTGGATTAAAGAGAGGTTTGAATGCAATACAAAGTTATCTCAAAAAGTTGTTTTGCACGATAAAATCCATACGATATTTAGAATCAGCATGAAAATTAAACAACTCAAATCTAGAAACTTCTTTGATATAAAAAGTTAATTAGTGTAATGTGTTTCTGTGTATCTCAACACAAGGCTAATATAGATATATTTTGTCTTACAGGATGTGTACGAGTCAGAGTTTACCAACTCTCCAGCAGCTACATCAAAATTCCGCCCAAATTACAAGCACCTGAAGGATGAACAGCATTATAGTGACGAGAGCTTCCTGTCAACAGAGGTTGTGGACCAGGAGGGTATGGTACAGATGATTCCGCCGGATGTGTGCGAGAGATTTCGTGAGGACTTGGCGCGTAGATGTGGGGAGATGCGTGGAGAAGAGATGTTGATGAGGAAAGACTCTCAAAGTAGTATAGAACAGGAGCTAGCTATCCTCAACAAAGAGATGGAGGATATTCAGCTCGAGTGTCAGGAACTCGCAAATGCTCGCATGCGTGACCAGTCCAAAGCGCAGAGTCCTCGTGATCAAACACCATATCGTAGTCCCAGAATTGTGCCCCGTATGGGAACACGTCTTGAATTTATGAAGCATGTGCAATTATATGACCAAATAGACAGTCTGGGTCGAAAGGATACACTGCCCTCTATAAAGGGGTTGACAATTGGCGGTAAAGCTTCCTCAGATAAAGGGGACCGTGATGCTTCGACCACAAGTGCTTATAACACTGGGGAGAGCTGTCGTAGCACCCCACTCACCCTTGAACTTAATCAAACGTCGGATGAGGGCGAGAAAGGATTCAAAAACTCTATGCTGTGTTTAGCCCCCATACCGAGTGTTCCTACAATGACATCGCTAAGTGATACAGAAAAACAAACACAGACTCCTTGTAGGTCTCATGAGAGTTCCAGTGAGGATACGTTTTTAGCGGCAAATACTCCCTCAGACTCTGTACCTTCTGGTACTCCCTTACTTCAACAACAGAAAAATAAAATGGGTGAATCCCTGCAGGACTTGTACATGAAATACGCAGATGTGATGTATACTAACCAAGCCAACCTCCAGCACACCATTCAAATTCAGCAGAAACTGTTTCAACAGCAGATGGACCAGAAACGGCCACGTAATTCTGGACCCTATGCTTCAAGTGGCAGTGGGTCAACACATGTACTGCCACCTGGTGGACAGTCCCCTGGAAATGCCACTCCGCCTGGCAGTGGGGAAATGGAATGGGTTGTAAAACGTCGTCCCGATGGCACACGCTATATCACAAGGCGACCAATCAGAAACAAGATGCTCAAGGAACGAGCAAAAAAGATTTCTGAAGAGCGTTGTGGGATGACTACAGATGATGATGCAATGAGTGAATTAAAGACTGGGCGATACTGGTCAAAAGAGGACAAGAAACGGCATATAGAAAAAGCCAAGGACCATAAAAAACGCAGGGAGCTTATGATGAAAGCTAAAATGGAAACTCTAAAAGAAACTGAAGAGAAAAAGGAGGTGAATGTCGTAGAGTTAGGTCACCGTAAAATGATGAAGCACAAGGGCAAGAAAGTATTTGATGATTTCACTACAGTACAGGAGATGTTAGCCCATGGAAGTCGCGTGCCTGAGGGCAAAACATATAATCCCTTACTGTCAGTGACAACCGTGTGATTTTCGACAAAGTCATGTTACATGTGTTCATGTAGAACGGTTTCGAATGGATCTTGAAGATCACAAATTAATTTACATTATATGTAAACATTAAGGCTTATCTTTCCGGTCCACAAGGAATACACAGATGAGGTGCGACTTTCTCCGTTTGAGTCATGTGATGACCAGTGTTTCAGGGTATTGTTTCCATGGAAATATACAAACTTACGCAATGTTTTGTTCAATTCAGCTTTCAACCAAAGGATGTTTATTTTGTTAGCAACAATCATGTTTTTTTTTTTTTTTTTAAATCTATGAAGTCATTGCGACTTGGTGAAGGAATATTATGGAGAAAATTTGAGAAAGTCTTGTGTAACTCATATATTATTGAGACACAACAGGAGATGGACCACTCTGCTGAAACAAGTCGTGTTTTAAAGCATTTACTGGACTATAAACAAAGGTTTGCCCCTCTCCCCCTCACTATTAGATAGAACATTTTACAAAGTGCTGTGTTGTGGGAGAAGAGTTATCTACCTTAGAGACTGTTGGGCTACACCTAATGTGAATGACGCTGTGTACGTCCTATATATACTGCGATGTAATATTGATGTGCTCTAAGTCATGACAAACACATATGAAATATTATCAATATCATTATTATATATAAATATATATATAAATTTGGAAATGTGATACAATGTTTTTGTTGCATGTATATTCTGTATAACATCCTGTGAGTTGATTTTATGTCAGACTCGTCACAACAAATCATCAGAAAATATTCAAGTACTAGGCGTTTATTACTACATTGATATTGCAAATATTTGATAGTCTATCTGCTTAAAATTTATGAAAATTAACAAAGTATAATAGATATTGGAATCCAATCTACAGATGTTGAACCTAGAAATAAATATATCTATATTGATGTTTAATTTATGAACATTAATTAATATAGAATCCATATTTTATGAATTTTGGTTATTTAAACATTTATAGATATAAATATCAGATGTATATAAATGTTGGCACGAGAAGATATTTACAGAAAGGGATTTCAGATCTGTGAATATTGATTATGGAAATTTGATTTGTGCATGATTACAGATAGTGTAGGGACAAGTCACAAGCAATGTGGGAGGGGCACTTACTATTTGTATAGGACTGTTTGTTAGATATAGTTTAATTTTGGTATTGTATCACTCTGTTTTTTTTTTGAAAAATGAAATCAACTTCTGCAGTCTCGCATTTGATTATACACTGTACTATTTCATACAAGTGATATGATTTAAAATCAAAAGCATGTAGCTGTTACAATATTTATGGATATTTTCTGATGATTTTTGTTGTCTCGTTGACTCTGGTTCTACAGAACAAAGAGATAGAAAAACACGATGAGGAGAAAGATAAGTTATTTACAGTGTGTAAGCAGAGAGAGAGAAAGTAGAAGGGTGTGTTGGACGTTAGTCTGCGGAAGTTGATGGAAAGAACAATTGAGGGAATGATGTAAGGAAGTATGAATGGGAACATATACTCCAAGGTTTGCATGTAATGTAGAGTCTGACCGTTAAAGAAACTTTACCTCTGTATAGTTGTCCTTGGTGCCGATCCCTTTAACCAATCGAACACAGCCTTGACATCATCTGTTACCTTCTGATTGCTGTTTATTACCAGTTCAAATATTCTAAACTTTTCTGTGGAGGATTCCATTCTGAAAGGGACATATGCTAGAAATTTATTGTTTCAAAAATAATCTCTTCTGAGATGTTGACCTTGGGTGTTAAATCAGAATATTTAGGATTAAAAATCTACGCAACATAATCGTAACTTTGTCATAACTATTGAAATTGACAAGCCACTTCAGACAATTTATTATTGTACATTTTGTAAAATTGCTTACATCTTTGTGTTATTATGGACCAATTGATATGAAAGTCAAGGAAAGATTCAAAAGAAAGTCAATATCCAAGTATTTAAAGTAATTCCTTTTCTTTTCCAGATTAATGGTTTTTCTTATCTATCTATATATACATACACATAAGTAGACTTAACTTTCCAATTTTCAAGACGTTTTTTTATTTTTTCAATTTGTTGGTACAATTAAGAATTTCTATGTAATCATCCTTCAGATATCCTAGTGATACAAAATTGTATATTGTACCTTACCAATCTGGCTGGGGCCTGACCCTCTGTGACCTGCCTCCTTCCCCCATAGTTCCATATGTCCTGTTGCTAGCCTGGTTGTCCTGGAAATACTAGTGTGTTTATTGTGAACATGTTGTCTATATGGTTCTGATATTGTTAAAGAAATCCTGTTGCCAATGAAGCAATGTTGCTCTGTATATGTAGTCACGTCAACAGTAATTGCAGTTTGTGCACACAGTATAATATAACTATTGGCTAGGTCAGCAAGTATAAATAGGTGATATCTTACCACAAGTGTTGTCCAGGTCTTAACACAAGTGTTGTCCAGGCCTTAACACAAGTGTTGTCCAGGCCTTTGTCCAGGCCTTAAAACAAGTGTTGTCCAGGTCTTAACATAAGTGTTGTCCAGGCCTTAAAACAAGTGTTGTCCAGGTCTTAACACAAGTGTTGTCCAGGTCTTAACACAAGTGTTGTCCAGGTCTTAACACAAGTGTTGTCCAGGCCTTAACACAAGTGTTGTCCAGGTCTTAACACAAGTGTTGTCCAGGTCTTAACACAAGTGTTGTCCAGGCCTTACCACAAGTGTTGTCCAGGTCTTAACATAAGTGTTGTCCAGGTCTTAACACAAGTGTTGTCCAGGTCTTAACACAAGTGTTGTCCAGGCCTTAACACAAGTGTTGTCCAGGCCTTAACACAAGTGTTGTCCAGGTCTTAACACAAGTGTTGTCCAGGTCTTAACACAAGTGTTGTCCAGGCCTTAACACAAGTGTTGTCCAGGCCTTAACACAAGTGTTGTCCAGGCCTTAACACAAGTGTTGTCCAGGTCTTACCACAAGTGTTGTCCAAGTGTTGTCCAGGCCTTAACACAAGTGTTGTCCAGGTCTTAACACAAGTGTTGTCCAGGCCTTAACACAAGTGTTGTCCAGGCCTTAACACAAGTGTTGTCCAGGCCTTTGTCCAGGCCTTAACACAAGTGTTGTCCAGGTCTTAACACAAGTGTTGTCCAGGTCTTAACACAAGTGTTGTCCAGGTCTTAACACAAGTGTTGTCCAGGTCTTAACATAAGTGTTGTCCATGTCTGCATTACTTCTGCCTGGGTTTGAACAAGAACTGTTCAGATCAGAAGTTCTGCTTGAGTCGGAAACAGGACTAATGCAGCCTGAAGTAGTACTAGGTGAAAACAAGTACTTTTAAGGACATATAATGAAATACTGCTTGAGTACTGTCTAGGTCCAAATTAGTACTGCCTGGATCAAGATCTGTTCAGGGGACAAAGCTATTGGTTCTATAGCTTGGTCTATAAACCTGGAGAGAATTCGGTACGAGAACTTGTGTTCAAGTATGTACATCATCATGTATAGTATTAGTGTACAACAACTCATGTCAGTGGTCAAATTTATAATGTTACTAATCTCACTAGGAAAATTGTGTACATCACTATGACAACTACTGTGTACATCACTGTGACAACTACTGTGTACATCATAATGAACTACTGTGTACATCACTGTGACAACTACTGTGTACATCACTATGACAACTACTGTGTACATCACTGTGACAACTACTGTGTACATCACTATGACAACTACTGTGTACATCACTGTGACAACTACTGTGTACATCATATGACACTACTGTGTACATCACTGTGACAACTACTGTGTACATCACTGTGACAACTACTGTGTACATCACTATGACAACTTCTGTGTACATCACTATTAGTGTACAACAACTCATGTCAGTGGTCAAATTTATAATGTTACTAATCTCACTAGGAAAATTGTGTACATCACTATGACAACTACTGTGTACATCACTGTGACAACTACTGTGTACATCACTATGACAACTACTGTGTACATCACTATGACAACTACTGTGTACATCACTATGACAACTTCTGTGTACATCACTGTGACAACTACTGTGTACATCACTATGACAACTACTGTGTACATCACTATGACAACTACTGTGTACATCACTGTGACAACTACTGTGTACATCACTATGACAACTTCTGTGTACATCACTGTGACAACTACTGTGTACATCACTGTGACAACTACTGTGTATATCACTATGACAACTACTGTGTACATCACTATGACAACTACTGTGTACATCACTGTGACAACTACTGTGTACATCACTATGACAACTACTGTGTACATCACTGTGACAACTACTGTGTACATCACTGTGACAACTACTGTGTACATCACTATGACAACTACTTTGTACATCACTGTGACAACTACTGTGTACATCACTATGACAACTACTGTGTACATCACTATGACAACTACTGTGTACATCACTATGACAACTACTGTGTACATCACTGTGACAACTACTGTGTACATCACTATGACAACTGTGTAAATCACCGTGACAACTGTAAGGGTGTTAATCACAACTGTGTAGGTGTCAGTTACTATGACAACTGTTCCTTAACTGCTTTTGTACACTGCTATACATGATGATGACAACTGTCACGGTTCACTGATTTGACAACTATGTCAGTGTACACTGGAGACGGTGTACACAGGTATAATCAATTTGGGCCGGATTGATGTGTGCAACCAGTTGCCTGGCCTTTAAGTGATAAAACTGAAACAATTCAAATAAATTATTGTTTTATATTTAAATTTTGTGTTATTGTTTTTATGTACATCTGTCTTCTTTGATTTAAAGCCATTAATTAATTTCCTGGTGTTTGTGAAATACGGAACTAAAACATGGTGATCATATTTATCTCCTTTGGTACAAAAACTGGCATCTTCACTCTTCATTTGATGAACATGAGAAAAAGATCAAGTCTTATTATAACAATATGTAATAATTTACTAAATATTGGATATAAA